GGGTGTCTGTACAAGTTCCTCAGGTGGACAACTTCGAGGCCACGTTATGTTGTAGTCTGCCTCAGTTCCCTTTCTGCACATTAGATGACCGACGGCTGCTACTATCCTAGGCCTTTCCTTTCCTAATATAACACATCATAACTATAAACAACCAATGATACAAGCCTAAACCATTTCAACAAAAAATACCTAAAAAAATACCTAAGCCTCTCAACATTCGTGGTATTCGTTTCTCTTCGAAAAGTCTCCGGAGATACTAGCTGTCTGCGAAACTAACCTTAACTCGTCAATCCTCTCCCCTGGTCTCTCGATTCCTGGCTACCTTTCTCTAATCAGAAAGGATTCCAAAGTCCACATGCACTGCCTGGGAGTTTATCTCCGCGAAAATCTCCCGCCGGCTAGGGAAATCTCTCTTGAATCTCCAGACTATTCGTTTATGTAACTTCGTCTCTCTCCCCTTAATTCTGTCTGCTATCCGTTCCTCTCAGGACTGTTGCGTGTCAGATAGTATTTCCGATAATAGTGACAAGGCCATCTCCCCACACCCAAATGCTAATATATTCGTGTTCGGTGATTTTAATGCCCACTATACCAAGTGGCTTAAACTCACTTCCACTGGCCCCGCTGGCATCCAAATCCTCGATCTCTGTTTTACCTTTGTCCTTGATTCTTGTCACACTACGCAGCTCTCTGCCCTCTTGGCAACTTTGTTCACACGGTTATGTCTGTAAAAATCTCCTTCTGCTCCTCCGCCAGCTAAGAACCCCCTTCCAACGGAATATCTTTATATTATCAACGAGCGGACTTGGAATGTGGTTTTTAACCATCCCGTTCAAAAATGCGCGTGTGAGGTTTCCTCCTGGGTAATCGATGCTTTCACTTCGACAAGAAAATAAAACCGCGTTCATCTCCTTGGTTCTCACCTGCTTACTCAGCTGCTATAGCCCACAGGAATCACTTCTTCCATCTGTAGCAGAGGAACATCTCTGATTGTAACAGACATATCTTTGTCTCGGCTCGTAACGAATGCAACCGTGTCCTCAATGAACCAAAGCTACTGATGTGCTGATAGAATGAAACAACGCATAGCATTTCGCAAGTTTGTTACTAGAGATTATTGGCGGTTCTGCAAGAGGGCGCTTAACAACAGCAAATCCTTAATCCCTCCTCTATCCAGTCAATTCGAAGCCCTTACATCTACAGCAGATAAGGCTGAATGCTTTGATTGAACATTCTCATCCAACTCAACTCTTGACTCATCAGGTGTGTCCAGACCGGACTTCTACCTAGAACTGAAGCTTTAGTGAGTGATATGTGCCTAACTCCGTCGTTGGTCTCAGACATCATATCTAAACTAGACTTCCATAAGGCAAGTGGAGGCGACGGGATACCCAGACATCGTCCTTGTGCTCCTGAGTTAGCTCCAGTGCTCTCCAAAATATACAACTATTGTTTCGCTGATTCCTACTTTTCAATCTGTTGGAAGTCTTCCTCTGTAATTCCTATTTTTAAGAACTCTGAAGAAACCTCTAACTACTGTCCTATCAGTCTCCTACCGCTTTTCGGTAAAGTCTTCGAGGCTTTAATCAATATCGGAGTGGTTAAACAACTTACCTCTCACGATCTTCTCTCTGACAAACAATATAAATTCCTTTTTGCCCGGTGTATCGCTTATATGCTTACAGCCAGAACTGAATATGTATATCAAGTTCTTGATAATAACGATGAAGTTCGAGCTGTGGCTCTAGATATCTCGAAGGCATTTTGTCAGAGTTTGGCAATGCTAGTCTTCTACGTAAGCTTCTGGGTTGCGTTACTAAAGGATGATTATTTGGTTTAATTCAATCATTCCTATCAAATCGTGAAATGAAGTTCGGCCTTAAGGGGTTTTCTTCCAGTTCCTTCCATACTTCAGTCATTCTCTCATAGACGCGATGTGACGTCCCTCTGTGTTTTCTACAAATATTCTCATGACATCTGTTCGAATGAGCTATCTTCTCTGATGACTACATGAATTTAATCGTGCTACTAGATTGGCATTTAGGTCCCAGACTTTTACTGTTGAAATAGCTAAATGTAACCATCACTGCTACTCCAGCAATTTCTTTTCTCGCACTTCCCGACAGTGGAATTCCCATCCTCTTACTTGCTTCCATGATAACTACAATCTTCAATAATTTAAATGCAACGTCAATCGCCATCTTCTGTTGCCTTGATTTCCGTTCTTCTTTTAATCCTTTCCCCAATCCCCCCTCTATACACAGTCTTTTCCCTCACTTTCACTCTCTGTAAGCCCTTACATGCTAGTGGATCTCTCGCCTTGCTTGGGGTGAAATGCTTGAAAAATAAATAAAAATAAAAGGTCACGATGTAGAATTAGTAAATATCAACCACTTAAAATACCACGGCATATCGATCAGTTATAACAAAATTAGTATAGTAGATAAGAAAATTGGCAAATAGAATATGTTACGCTAGTTACCCAGAAGACCGCGAGTTAAAACAATTAAAACATTAACCTAAAAACACGAGTCATATTCTTAAATAGCCTCGTTAGATCAAAACCTTCATATTGATGCTATGCATGACGCCAAATTCGTTCAGAAATATCTAAAATGTCAACTGTATACAACCGTTTTCTAAGATCAATGATTAAAAGTGGCTTTGAGCGAGTGAAGCATGGTGTTCTTTGCAAATACCATCTTTCTTTGAACATTGTAGACTAACGTAGACAGAATCAGAAACAAAGAACTTTATACAAAGAGCAAATTATAGGAACCACACCACTTGAAAATTTTCAATAGCCGTAACAATTAAAATGAATATCAATGAATACTGAATGTTTCCTTATAAGGAAAAGGCTAATAATACCATTCGAATTACCATAATAGCATGAATGACGTTAATGGTGACTGCTGCGCCGTTGAAAGAACAAGAAATAAACTAGCAGAAAAGAAAAAAAAACTAGTTTTATAATCGAACAAATTTATAAACATTTTGTAGGTGATCTTCTAGTATAATTGACAAAATGTTTAATTCATTGAAATTCATAGCGTCATTCAATCAGCCACCAAAATATTTGGGGAGAATTTTCGATATTCTTATGTCACCTTTCAAAAATAAATTTTCCATCATAAAAGAAAATGTTTTTGATTCAATGCATTTTTTCAATTTTTTGGAACTACGCACCAGGGCATGTTTTTATTACTGAAGCAACTGATAATCTGAGGAAAATTTACGTCACACAAAAATGGGTCAGTGGCTTATTAATTAGACTACAAAGGCTAAAAAGCAGTCGTCATTAAAATTTCATTACATAGCAACATTCTTCATTATATGAATATTTGTTTACTTCCAGTTTTTCTATCTATCTATCTATCTATCTATCTATCTATCTATCTATCTATCTATCTTTCTATCTATCTATCTATCTATCTATTTTGATTTTTTCTAGTTTTTATTACCAAATACAAGAAAGTGTCACTTGCTCTTCGTCAAGTGAATTCGTATTTTAAACTGAAAACTCGACTTCGCCATTTTCATTACACTGAACTTCCTTTAGAAGTGCAATTATTGATTTTAACGATTTACGTGTGTATCTCATTAATTTTTCAAATATAAAATTTTTAAAGATAAAGTTGATTAAAATACCTACTTTGGAAACTTAATTCTAAAAAGTCAAATTTGTTTCCTTTGAACTTTTTTCTAATACACATTTTTCCATTAATCTTTATCTGAGATTTATAATCTTTTATCTTTTATCGATTTATCTTTGCAGAATAAGCTACAACCATTAAATTATATAATTATATTTTGTTTAAATATCACCCCGCCAAAACACATTTTATTCAAATAAATCCACGACACCGTCATCCAACTATAAAAGTATTCTTTTTTCAATTTTTTCATCTTAAACCCCTATTCAGTTAAATTTTTCATCATAAAAGAAAGAATCAGTTTTTCATTCAATACGTTCTTCCAAGAAATTTTCGATATATTGAACTCGTTGGAACTGCTGACCAATGAGTGTCTTGTTTTTAGTGCCGCAATTAATAGTACCATTCTATCAGGCATCAAAATATGTTTGGAGGTGTTCTATATTCAGTTAAAATGAATTTTTCGTCATGAAAGAAAAAATCCTTTAGATTCAATGCATTGTTCGTGTAAGTATTCGATATGTTAAAAGGGAATGTTGTTTTACTGAAGTAATTCATAATCTGAGGATTACATGTCTGCGATATTTGCAGCTCATAAAAACGGGACAATTCCTTATTAATTCGGTTACAAAAGCTAACAAACGTACGTCATTATAATTTCCTTATATATAGCAACATCTTTCATTTTTACAAATATTTACCTCAGCGTCAAATTGTTTGTTTCCAGACAGAAGTAGTTGACGTAATAACCTGAATGTTTGAAGCATTTAGATAAAGCATTGGAATTTATATTAATTTCTGACTCGCCTTTCATCTTACGTTTATTGTTTGCTGAAAGTGTTTTAGTGTTTTAGCTTTTTCTAACCCTTACGCCATATCTGTTAACACCACAAAGCGAAATCAGACGAAGAAAGACATGAAAACTGATTCTCAACAGTAATTTTAATGAAGAGAAACAGAAGTTAAGATAACTGAATGTTTTGAGAAGAGATTTAGTTATGTTTCACTGAGTATTTAGAATCTTAAATCTTGAGTTAGACGAAAAATGGTCAACGGTTATATTGAAAGCAACATTTCCTTAATATTACACACCTATATAAAACGGTAAATAGTTCGTTTTAAATGAGAAAACCCAAACAAATAAAAAAATATCGCTGTATCTGACCATAAAGTGCAATTAAGTGGTTTAGAGATTGATCCTCAGGCACCAGGTAGCGGATAATTTTTCTTACCTTGTTCGAATATGAGACATGGTCAGTGGCGAACCACCTGAGATTAAGAATAACTAATGAATTTAGTTTCATACATTTACTTTCTGCTTGTTACGAATGAAATAAAACGTACCTGGCCGCTTCTCTCCACTCGTATTCACCGTTGTTGTTGTGCAACATGTCCATTTGACAGAAAACATCATGATAAAAATGTTCCTCATCATCGACTTCCACTAGCAAATTCTGAATCTGTTCCGATGGCGACAAATAGACTGAAATGAAAAGATAAAATAATTATTCTTCTATATTTATAGGGGAAAAGCCTCCGACATCGCAAATAGTGCGTTTATAGATTTAGGCAATGTGAACATTCAGGTCTCACTGAAGATTGCAATGGAGCGTGAAACTGTCACCATGCAGTCTTGATTTTTATGTCCACACACCCTCCCATGTCTCTTTCTTTCGCCCTCTTTCTATATCTGGTGGCCGTTCGTATTCGAATACGCCTGTCTTCTAGGACGGTTAGCCAATCCCCGTTGCAGACGCCTGCTCAGACACATTTGTGTTTGTTCACCACCGATAGAGCCCACCTATGGTTTTATCTTGCAACTATGCTAAGCGAGCCTAGTTTTCTCAGTTTATGGAAACGTGTGCATTATGTGACGTGATCAACACTCTGAACAAAGTCCATACCTTCAAATACTCAGTCACGATGACTTGTGACTTCGTGCTAGCACAACCATCAACGGTTTCAAAATGGTTCCATCTGCACAATTTCACTCACAAGGATCGTGATAGGGTTTTCAGGCTCTTTCTAAAGGTACAGCACAATGGGGTCACCTCCCCATGTTTATCAATATCCGTCACCTGAGATTTTATTAAATGAAAAATAGTAGGACCTGTCACAAAAAATGGATCCGGAACATTTATTTTTGACCGGCTGTCATCAGTATTGTGAAGTGGGCTTCGACGAGCGGTCTAGACAAATAGAAGTATCACGTGCATTTGACTCTTTTAGACCAACGTTAGTATAATTTGCGGTGTTTCGAATTCAATGAGTGCAACTGAAACAAAAAAAAATACCAGAATTTCCTTCTATTTTTTTCTGTTCATATCCAGCTTCTGACGGAGCTTTAATAAAAGTGATATTACTAATTGAAAATAAACAAAGGCATGGTTTTACAATAGGATTCTAAGGAAAAAAAAAACGTGTTCATTGGGCGAAAGAATGAGCCAGTAGAATCCCTAAAAAAGAAATTGTTTTTGGATTTAGGGATTAATGAACAAAGGGAAGATCTTCATGCGAACAGAAATTAAGAATACTTGTTTATTTTTATTGATTAATCATAAATTTATTTCCTGTGAAAGGAGTAGCATGATCTAAATTGTAATAAATGAAAGAAACAGAGAAGGCCGGTATTTCCAAATTACACCAGGGGTCGTTTTTCAAATCTAATTTTAAAAAAAAAGAATGAGATTTGGCTGCTTATCTTCTTACTGGCTCAAAACAATTCTTTTTAGCTTCTTCTACGTGCCGTGTCCCTTGAAGCGATGATGGCTCTCCACAATTTCCCGTCCTTTGCAGCTTTTAAAACATATTGTTGTTTTGTTATATCTCCAAAAACTTGTTCCACCATCCATTTACACAAGCTCGCTACGTAGGTTATGCGTTGTTTTCTTCTGACCCTTTTGCTTTAAATCTGTCCTGTTCGTATCAAATTTTCCTAGCCTTCTTTTCTCATTATGTGCTCCTTCTGATGTTAAATATAAGTGTCCTTATCACATTTCCCATATTTGATCTTCTACCTTATCAAGTTAAGATATTGGAATAATCCGAGGATCCAAGTTGATGGAATAAAACCTGTTGCTGAAGGTGACCACAGGAATGATAGATATGCTTTCTTAATGTCGATGGATATTTTCCGAGTAAACGTGGTATATTTTCCGGGTAGACGTGGTATATTTTCCGGGTAGACGTGGTATATTTCCCTATATTTTCTCATCCGCCTTCTTATTAATTTCTCCGCATTTGCCTCTGTATAATGCATAGATTTTCTTTCAGTTGCAAATAACTTTCATCTCGTGACGACATTTCTGTATTGGAGCGTCGCTCTGTTCAGACGCCACTATGAATGCATTACATTACAGACGAATAAAAATATATTTATTTCACACAGCCTGATGTATTCCGGAAGCATTTTTTCTGTAGTGAGAAAAACATTCTTTGAGAAAGTTTGATTTTATAAATAAACAAAATACTACAAGGTTATGGATAAGCCAGCTCCGGTCAGTTCAGCTTAAGATTTCGTGTTTATAAAGAGTTTTATAACGGAGAATATTTTGAAAAGAAAAAAAAAAAAAAAAACTTAACCCATTCTCCCCATTAATCAATAATCAACAACACGCATATAGACAAAATATGTTGTCACTCACATAAAAAAGGGAATACAGGTTCGATTTCTACAGAAAGCTATTTTTTTTTAAATACAACTATCGAACTCTGGACAAAAGTAGGTATACAGTAATTATTATACCAGCATTATAATAGTTTAATAGAAAATTTTATATCTACTGTTGTCCGCCCTGTATATTACTTTCACTGTTTGAAGCATGTACCTGCAAATTATAACGTTTTATAATAAGAAGAAATAATGCCGGATTAAAAAAATAATTATTAATTGCTTAAATTTGAATGTATAAGAGAAAATGTTTACTTTGACATAAACCAGCACTTACTGAAATTTGTTTTTATTTCATACTAGTTTAAAAGTCGCACTCCATGCAGACTTTTAAGCTAGTTTCTGCATAAAGATAACTGGTTCTCCGGGCCCAAATCTAAAGGAGCCTCTGGTCCAGCTTAGAAAATAACAATGATAATTTTGATGAAATAACTTTGTATTCCTCAATTCACTCTGATTCAGGGCTGAGAGTTTGATTTGGTCCGAAATTCCGATTTGAGCCAAGATTCCAATTCAGGACGAAAATTCAGTGCTTGAAATCACAACTTCATTTTTTATACAGTGATCCTGGTTTTTCTCTGAAAAATTGTTTTAAGTGAAAGATTTTGTAAATTTCAGTCGAAAACAATAGTGTTTGCTCTGTCAATGAAGGCCAAATGTTTTTTTCTTGTAGGGAAATGGCTAATATTACCATTGTCATTAGCATAACTAAAGAAAAAGTGTATCTCCTAACACAGGCTTGATTCTTGACGGGAGACACAATTTTTTTTTATTACAACTTCTTCATCCGAAAATGAAAAAGGATGTTAACTCAAACACGCTTCCAAATAAAAACAACGTTTACTGTAATAAAATATAATGCTGAATGAAAAAGTCTATTTAAAAATTGTTGTGTTTAGATTTAGGGTAGGGAGAGAAAGCTACCAGATATCAATTAGAAAAAATGTCCGACAAGAAGTGTGCCTTCCCTAAGTAGGTAATAGAACCTTATTTATCATGGCGGTGTCACGGTGCCATGATGGGAAAAGGGAATACAGATTCGATTTAATGTAACCGATAAAAAATAACGTTTATAATAATACGACATATGTGTATATAATTACAGTATGTATATATATATATATATATATATATATATATATATATATATATATTTATGTGTCAGTAGCTTGTGTGTGTGATTATGAAGTCTGAAGAATAGATGTGATTCCATGAAGATTGAGATATTTAACAGCTAAGAGGACACATTTATTATTATTGTTATTGTTATTATCATTATTATTAATAGAGCTCTATCTTTAGATAACGAGCACTATAATTACACAAATTACCTACCTTAAAAACATTAACTTTCAGTACTACCTCGGTTAATGGATTTTTGATGAAATGAAAACTTTTTTTTAGTTGCTAATAAATTTACATCCGTAAATCTCATCCGTAACTCAACATTTGAATTTCATGCACGATGCAATTATCATATTTGTGCTACCGGTGAGATAACAAATGTATATTTATTATTAATAATAATAATAATAATAATAATAATATATATATATATATATATATATATATTCCAACAAAAAATATTTGCACAATTCAGGAAAAACTTGTGTTTCGTAGTTTTATCAAATTGCGATGAAACTGTTTACTGTAGTGCGGTATTTTCTCAACAGATGGCATTACATCGAAGGCCCAAGAAAAGAAATTGAAGATAAATGTGCAGAAAGACCCTGGACACTTTGATCAACGCTGCCCAAGCAGGAGTTAGTTGTTCTAATATATATATATGTATTACTTACTTAAACTTTATTTGCTATTGGAAAGCGCATATGCAGAAAGTATTTTATACTATACCCTGTATATTTCCCTAGTAAAGCACAATATCGAATCGATGGCAGTCGCCTTTATTTTAAGACTTTATTCGAAGTCTCCATTTATAGAAAATTGTCTCCTTCCAAGACACTCGTTATGTATTGATAGTTTTACAAAAAAAACAAATGTCGCTGAGACAGCGTGGATCTATTTGGCTCTGAATTTCATCCTCTCTCTCTCTCTCTATATATATATATATTAAAAAAGAATGGAAAAGTTGAACGGTTAAACTAATCTTCTTTCTTACCTGGTGCAGGAATGGTACCGTTAGAGCTGGACGTCTTTTCACTTTGTTTCTTCGAGCGAGATTTCTTTACTGGACGCCTGGGTCGCTTAGGTAATCGAAGTCCAATATACATGGCTTGGCGATGATCCATCGCTGTAAATAAAAAAAATAAATTTAGAATACTTGCTGAAGACATTGAATTATACGTGAAACAGTAATGATATACAAGCAGACAGGGTTTATCTGAAAAAATACGGAATACAGAATCAAGCAAAAGTTGGAAAATTTATTGAAAATGAGAAAGCGTAAAAAAGATATTTATTAAATCATGAAAACATGCTTTCAGCACAAATAAGAGGCTATTAGAAAACAGAAAGAGACAAAACTTGTTTCACTTCTAGATTTACTCCATCGAAAAGAAGAAAAGACTTCATATGTGAGCTATATATTTGCTAGACTCTAAGCGAGCGTCTACCAGCAGCGAACAGGGTGAAGACGAAAGATAGAATAAGTGCAAGGATTTCTTCCATGTACCATGTTCCTTCAGGATAGTGGCGATCATGGCCTTCTATAAATTCCTGTCTCTTGAAGTTCTTAATAAATTTTGTCCTTTTGTTAGTTCTAAAGCCTGTTCCGCCATCTATTTACTCAAACAGGTTATGCGTTGTTTACCTCTGTCCATCTTGCCTTCAAACTGTCCCTTGAGTATCAGATTTTCCAAGCCCACTTTTCTCATTATGTGCCCTAGTAATTTCAACTGTCTCTTTCTGATATAAAGTATAAGTTTCCTTTTTGTGTCCATTTTCTTTAAAGCTTCGTCGTTGCTTAAATGTCCGGTCCATGGTATATTCTTAGCATCCTTCTGTAGAACCACATTTCTGTTGCTTCAAGTTTCTTATTCATCTGTTTCCAGATTGTTCAACATTCTCGGCCATATAGGAGGACAGATATCACGTAACAGGTCAGTCCTCTTTTCTTTGTTTCTAACAAAGTTTTTCTGTCTCTTAATACTCTACTTAGCTTTTAGTATGCAGCTCTGGCTATCCCAATAGACATTCGAATTTCAGTATTGCACTTTCTATCTTCCGTTAAAACAGTTCCCAGATACTTAAATTGTTGTAATTGTTTGATTTTGCTATCTTCAATTTATAATGTGCATGTTGGACTGTTCCTTTTTTTCACAACCATATATTCCGTCTTCTTGCAATTGATGTTTCGTCCTTTATTTGCATTTTCCTTCACTACCTTCTGTTGGAGTTTTGGAGTTTTCTTTCCGTGTCTGCTATCAACACTGCGTTATCTGTATATCTTATGCTATTAAGATTTTTGCCGCCAGTAATGAATCCTGGTAGGATTTCTAATTCTCTCAGAATTGCCTCACTGTGTAGGTTGAATAAATCCGGCGAGAAGATATGTCCTTGTCTTACACCCCTTTCTATTTTTGTATATTTACTGAATTCATTTTCTATCCATATTTAGGAGGTTTGCTGCCAGTATCGGTTCTGGATTATTCTAATATCCTTCCGAAATATGTCAAGGTTATTAAGCAGTTCCAACAGTTAAGGAAAGCATGCAAATATAATGGTTAGGTTTATTTTCATAAAAATTAGAATGTTGCGAACCTTATCAAAAGCAACAGAATCCAAACTGCATTAACTGGAATTTAAAAAAAAAATCACTAACCAGATGACAACATTATTCGTGGCCGTATAAATATCAAGGAAATGTCGAGGTTTGAGGAGTCATAACAACAATTTCCAACGATAGCCACAAAAATTACGCGGGAACAAGCAAATGCATAAGATATTATTACTGTAATAGCTACTAGAACGGCTAGCCAATCCATGTTGCAGACGCCGGCACAGGCACATTTATGCTTGTTCAACATCCACAATAGCCATCTGTGGTTTATACTTCGACTACGCTGAGTGGACTATAGTTTTCTCATTTTGTGGGAAAGTACAATAGTCTGAACAAGGCCTGTACGCCCAAACCGTTGGTCACGATGACTTGTGACTTTGTGCTATCACAAACATCGATGGCTCCCAAATATTTCTGTCTCACCTAATTTCACTCACAAAGTTCGGGTCAACCCGACATATGATTTTCAGGCAGTTTCCAAAGGTGTCGTACGCTGGGATTGCCTCCCCAAGCCGATAACATATAGTCACGTTACTGATGGTGAGATTCGAACCTGGGTCGCTCACTTCTGCTGCTACTACTACTACTACTACTACAAATAGTAATAATGATGAAAGATTAATTCACTATGTCCCAGTGGTTAGCAAGCAAATCGAAACGGTTACGAGTGTAATGAGTTCGACTCTCTATTATGGCAGAAGACTTGTAAGTTTGATCTTTTTTGAATTAAGTTTTCCTAAATCATTGATCGAGGAGTACAAATTTTATTCCGAGTGCGAAAGTTTCTGTGTTGAAAATCTTGATGTAGTTGATGCATCTTCAAACTCGTGTTGAGGTTCAATTTTCAAGTGAAGTACCTGACGCATTGATTTAAAGCTACTAGGTATCGATCAAAATTACTGGGAATCTTGCCGTGGATCAATGGTAAGCAAGCTCATCTCGGAGACCATTAAAAAGGTAATGACGAACCACACTGGATTTCCCAGTTTTGGTCTTGAGAAAGAGACTAAGTGTTGCAAGTAGTGCGTCGCAGAGGAATAATACTGTCATGAGTTCCAGCCTCACTGAGCTTCCTCCTGTCACAATGGTGATTTTCTAAGCGTAACTTAGATTTGACACAACGCCTAAAGTGTGAGTTACTCAGTGAGGATCGAAATCACTACTCAGTTGTAATTGTTCTAGGGAGACACGCTTGCTAACCATTACTCCATGTCGGGATGCCTTTTTCTCCTGATACAATGAACAGTTACACTTAAAAGAAGGCTTTATGATTTGAAAGTCAACTGTAATTCAAGATCTTAGGAGTAGATCGGTGCTCTTATTGCCCGATTCACACTCCTTCCCTCGCTTTTGAATAGAAGTCGAGGTTTAACCCCTGTTTTCTATTTATGATTGTTTTTCAGGTTCCGTCTGCTAAAAAGGGCATTTTCTGACCCTGAGTTTATTAAGGCTACTCTAGTTATTAATTTCACACTTTTTGACACTTTAAATCATTTTCTGATCCCCCACATTTATTCAAACACTCCATTTACTTGACATTAAGAACATTTCTGGCCTGCTCCAATTATTAAAACCTCCTCTTGTATTAGGTCCATAAGAGTAAGTGAAAACAGACGACCATTTCTTTAATTCAGTCAGAACGAATATTCATTTAATTAAAACATTAACATTTAAAAAAGTTCTAGGACAATAACAAAAAAAAAGAAACTGTATGAATTATATATGATTTTTGACTGTTAGTTTTTGAAAAGTTAATGTCTTCAGTGCTAAAGATCTTTCCATAGAAAAGTGGCTTCGAGGTAGCATTTGTCCTAAATACAACAACTGCAATATAAACATAAAAACACGAGATATTAGAGTAATTAGAAAATATATTAAAGTAATTAGAAAATAAGTAAAAATAAGGGAAATTAGTTAATTATGTCGCTATTTGGAACCTGAATCCATCTGCGGCGAGTCGTTAAGAAATGCCAAGTGGTTTCCTAACAGTTTGAATTTAAAATAACAACCAGTGTAGTTACATCACGAGAGTCATTGCATTAGTTGTTTTATCGATTTCACCTTAAACAAGGCAATAAAGCCACTAAGATACACGGGGTTACTCGGTGTGGAAAAATTAGAACAGAAACATTATTGATGAGCAGGAAGAGAAAAGAGTAATCAGAAGAACAGTAGATAGCAATTGACATTACATTTAAATTTTTGCGCATTAAAGTTGGTTGGAAAGCAAGGAGCCAGAAGGGAATTCTACAAGCGAGATAAGCAGAATTTAGTTAGCAGAATTTACGGCTATATCTGCCCATGTCAATTGTAAGGTGACGAGATCTCGACGCCAGCCTCGTACTGCGCTTCAATTAAAAAAAGGCTAAGTATCATAGTGAAGAGTTATTCTGAAGCTGTGGCCATAGGGGTTCCTACAAAAAAATTATCCAGACATGGCATCTCTGGAAAAGTCTACGCACTTGTCAAGTCTTTTCTCTCAGGTGGATCCATGAAAGTTGTTGTAAATGTCTAATCTTACGAAGCCCATGAGAATCAATGCAGACTTCTTTCGGTCCAAACCACTTTCTGATTTTTATTAGCGGTCTGTATAGTAATATTCTTAAATCATTAGTAATATACTGATGATACCACAGTTTAGGGAAAGACCTCCTAAAATAAAGATGGTCAGAGCCTTACAGCTGACCTCTGCGGTGACGTGACCCGAAGAGCTCAGTAATGGAAAAACAGGCCCATATGTTTCAATAACTCAAAAACGAAAGCTGTATAATTTTATAATCACTAATGGGAACTTGACATTTCTCTAGTCACAACGTACAGTTTAACAAGGCTTTATACTTTGAACATCTATTGCAATTCAAGTTCATAGGAGTAGATAGGTTCGCCTATCGCCCGGTTGCCCGTCTTTTGAACAAGACTAGAGGTTTATCCCTTGTTCCTTGTTTAGGATTGTTTCCGGTTCCTTCTCTGTTATTATTTTCTTTTCTTGCGTCTTAGTGGTATTATTGGCTTGTTTGAGGTGAAATGATTTTTTTAAAAAAGGAGGAACTCAAAATACAATTCATCGCTAAAGCTAAAGATGCTGGAAAATTGGTCGGCTCTTTATACCGTTCGAAAAATGTGTCTGGCCCCCTTCTGCCATGCTTTATAATTATAAGAGTCAGATTAGAACAAAAATTGAGTATTGCTGCCATGTCTTCCCAATCTCGTTTGCATGACTTTGTAGCTGATTGATTATTTTTAATCTTACAACGTTGCAAGCCTATCGCTACTCTATGGCTAGTTCCATGGCAAATGTTCAGATTAGGGACATTTTTTTGTTCCACCAATTCCGATCATTTCCGCTAGGACTCGCTATGCTACGTCCACAGAGTCGAATCACACACATTTCTCCCATATTCCATTTGTAATGGGGAAATTTCTCTCAGACTGCATTTCCTTTCAAGAACTACTAAAGTCAAGGATCAATCGCTATCTATCATCATTTATCCT